TTCCTCCTGCACCTCATGCTAGGCGACCACTAATCTACTTTCTGTCTCTAGGCATTTCATATAAATGGGATCATACAGTGTGTGATCTTTTGTGTCTGGCTTCTATCACTTGGAATGTTTTTGAGGTTCATCTATGTTGTGGTATATTTTGGTAATTCATTTTTTTATTGCTGAATCATATTCCATTGTATAGAGCAGTCATCTATTTCGTCTTGGGATTTCTCACTGAAAAGCTATATCCAAAATAAACCTTTTTAAAGAGTTTTATTGTACACTATTACTGTGTGTGTGAATGTGTGTGTGTGTGAATGTGTGCTTCTTTGTGTGCTTGCACATACACACATGCTGGCTGTAGGCCGACCATAGGAAAGGGGTGGGAGGGCCAATAGTCCAGTGGTCTTGACGGGCTTTGAATGCCGCAGAAAGTGATTTCAGATTGACTTAGTAGCAGCACGGAATGGGAGACATTGTGGCTAGGGTTAGGAGCATAGACTCTGGGATTAAAAGACCTGGATCAGTTCCTGGCTCTGCTTCTGGCCAGGTCTCTAGGTGGGAAAGCCATTTTGCCTTTCTGAAAATGGGAGTAATAGCTTCTGTAAGAGAGTTCAGGGATACTTAAGAGAAAAAATATGTGAAGCCCTTGGCAACACATATCATAAGTGCTCAGTAATTGGGAGCTCCTGTTTCTATTGATGTGATTATTCATCATCTTTATCCTCATCATATAAAAGTATCTGGGCATGCATCTGTGTTGGCCTGAATTGTCTTAACGAACATGGCCAATTTTTATAAAGTCAACTTCTGAAAGTGGTAGCACCCAACCTTTTTCCCCTGTGATTTTTTTTTGAAATTAGCTTTCAGAACTCATTTATGTGCAGAGGTTAACATGGTGCCTAAATATGTAAATACCAGAATAATACTTGCGTTACTGAACCAGGTCTGTTTGCCCAAGATGCCGCAAGCCGAACACTGAGACTCGGGTTGGTTTACAGCCAAGAGTTTATTCATAAGGCAGCCAAGCGAGGAGATGGAAGAACAAGTCTCAGGTCCACCTCCCTGAAGGCAAGGAGGTTGGGGTATTTATGGGATAAGCAAGAGTGGTCTTAGGCATAGAGAAAGGTGATTAAAGGCAGAGAAAAGGTGAGGTAATCCTTGTTCTGCACAGGCACATTTGGGTTACATGCTTCTTCATATTCAAACTAGAGTCGCTTAGCTTGGTCTGAGGGTAGAGTTTTCTGGCCCTCTGATGTTAAAAGGCCATTTACTGAACATCTGCGCAGCCCCAGGTTTAGGGTCAGTGGTCCCATGCAGCCCCCAGCCAGCTTACACTGGGCGGGAGCAGACTCCACGTTCCTTTAAAACAACTGGGGCTGTGTGAAAGCTGGGAAGGCCTGCAGTTATAGAAGAGGCAAAAAGAGAGAAAGAAAAAAACTAAGGCGAACTTAATCAATGAAAGCAGTTTACGAGCAAAGGGTTTTTAACAAGCTGTTCCTTTAGCTGTTGTTCTGTAAGACAAGTTCAAGACTTTCTCTTAGTTATCAACTTCTGTTAACTCTTTGGGGCACAATTTCACTTGTCAGGATCATCCTATACTTTTCCAGAAGGTTCACAGTCCCATATCTACAATCAAAACTCTAAAATATCTGAAAACCAAAAGTTTTTTTTAACACATTTGGTGGTAAAACCTGACCTGAACAGATGTGTTGCTCTTTACAGCTCTTTTTTATCCCACTTGGTATGAACAGTCATAGCTTTCCTGCAGATATATTAAAGTATTGGGTTTTGGGGTGCTGCAGATCCCACTGGTTATATATTAATAGATTACCCTGTGATCTTAAGGCCTGTATAGACAGTAGAATAGGTGCCTATTTATTTTAAACAATATATAGGATGTTTTCTACAAGACTTAACCTCAAATAGGCTTAAATAATAAAGGATATTTATTGGGTAATTAAGATGACCCCAGACTACCTTGGGTAAGGTCTTTACTGATCCCTAATTAACAAATCCATGAATTTCAATTTTACCTTTCAGGCCAGTAGTAGAAGTCACTTAACTTGTGAGTACCTCAAGCCCAACAGTCCAAGGTGGTCTCAGCTAGGTTTTATTTCTGCTTATCATGGATATGTGCTGGTGTATGGGGTTTGTAAAGATCTTCAGAGGTGTCCATGAGGAGGGTATCCGTAAGGCTGTTTGAACTTGACTCTATCATTGCCACTCACCTACCAGTTAGGCTGTCTCTGGGCAAGCCTCCCTCTACAGTACTTGTTATATTGTGTTGTAACTTTATATAAGTGTGCCTCTCCACTACATTAAGAGATCCTTCAGTGTGTAGAGGTTGTGTCTTACTCATTTTTATCCCCAGTGCCTTGCTTAAGTGCCTGGAAAGTACTGCTCAGTAAATGTTGGTTCAGTGCCTGAACAAATGAGTATTAGGTTGGCCCTGACTAAAGTCATTTCACAGTGACTAAACTGAGGAGGAAGAAGAGAGGGAGGGGGTTGTGGAGCAGGCTGGGGTGTGGGGTGTCATTGTTTGCAGAGAGAACTCTCCTGTCCTTAATGTATCCCAAGTCTAGCAATGAATCAAACATATATTGAGTGTCCAATAAAAGATTTGAAAGAATGAATGAAAAGTCCTCTAGTTTACCCCTAGTCCTAAAATATTTAAAGTGTAAAGTGTGTATGTTTTTAGAAACAGACATTCTTATTGCCTAGAACTAGAACCTCAAATCGTGGTCCCCTTCCATCCCCTTTCTTACTTCATCGCAAGGCTGCAGCGAGTTTGGTTAGCATCCCTTCAGATCTCTACCGAACCTTCTAACTGCAGTCAAAGCTGCTAGCCGGGCCACAAGTCCCTGTCTTCTACCATCTGTCTCACCTGCTTTGGGTCTCAAACATCCCTCACTGTGACAACTTCCTCACTGTGCAAGCCTGTTCCCTTCTCAGGGACTTAGTCGTTCTCTCCTTGTAAGGAGAGGAAGAGCTCCCTGATCTTGGCGGTCTCTCTGTTCAGATCAGAGCCCATCCCTGCCCTCTGAACCTCAGACAGCTCTGTCACAGGTTACCCAAAGCTCACCTCATTCTGGTCTGCAGCCCTTTTCTCTTTGGGGTTTAGTAACCCTTCTGGTAGATAGGCCCGGACTCTAAGTTTTTTCTGATATTTATATACTAAAAGCAAAAAATACTGCATTTTGTCGCTAATAAAAACTTGTCCATGATGAAGTATTTCTCTCAAGTATTTGAGTTAATACCTTTAACATTGATGTGCAGTTTTAGGAAGTTGTAAAGAAATGAGATCAAGAAGAGTTAGTACTGTTTACCCATTGAGAAGGACTGGAGACTGGTTTTTTGTTTTTTCCTTTGTGAAGTAAATGCATGGTGAATAATAGTTAAAGGAAAGTCCTTAATTAGAATTTGGGTGTCTCTGTTCCAGTTTTAATTGATCCAGTATGTTGAAAGAAAAGACTATCAAAAGGGACATAGTATTTAAGTAATAAATTTCCAATTGTGACAGACACATTATTTATGGATATTTTCTCTTTAGGAAATGTAAATGTTAGAACCAATTGCAGGAGAGATAGTATCAGCTACCACAAATTCCTGAGTTCTTCGTGACTCTGCTTAGCTTTATTTAAGGAGATTTTTATCTACCGTGAGGCTTATTTAGTAGGCACTTCTAGAGTCCAATGTCAGAGAAGGTTAATTTTAAACTTTTATGTAGAGCCTTCTTTAGCAATGAAAATCTTTTACAGAATAAGGCTTAAACTTTTAATGTTTTTGACTAGCTTATTTAAAAGATGAATTTAGATTGGCACCAAGCCAGATCTGAGGGCTAGAAGCTCAGTGATTTGCTGGCTATCATAAAGCTGTAGTACAGTTTTCTTTTTGTTTGGTTTACTCTTTACCTTCAAGTAGACCTCATGTGGTCTGGTCACTGTGTTCTGAGCAGAACATTATGCATTAATTAAAGCTCCACTGTGACTTAATTTTTGCAGACTTAAATTTTAGCATAACTTATTTTCAGGGAGGAAGGGTGAGCTTTAAATCCCTGATCATGAAAATTCATTTTGAGATTTTTTTTTTTTTAATTATTTTTTGGCTGCACCGGGTCTTCATTGCTGCGTGCGGTCTTTTTCTAGTTGAGGCAAGTGGGGGCTACTCTTCCTTGCGGTGCGCGGGCTTCTCATTGTGGTGGCTTCTCCTGTTGCGGAGCACGGGCTCTAGGTGTGTGGGCTTCAGTAGTTGTGGTTCATGGGCTCTAGAGCGCAGGCTCAGTAGTTGTGGCGCACGGGCTTAGTTGCTCCGCAGTATGTGGGATCTTCTCGGACCAGGGATTGAACCCGTGTCCCCTGCATTGGCAGGCGGATTCTTAACCACTGCGCCACCAGGGAAGTCCCATTTTGAGATTTTTAAAAAAATGCCCATCCAAGGAAAGAAACCTCAAGTAGCTGTCTTTCTATAACCTACCTTTTAGTGTTTCTTGTTTATAATTTTTCTTCGGATTTGTTTCATTTTGATCCTTGAAAATATGCAGAGGATGAAATCTTAATGTTGGAATTATTTTTCTTGGTTGAAACTGGAATTATAGGGGTTTTTATGGCATTTCCCCTAATATATTACTGGTGGGGGCGGGGCAGAAGAGCCATGTTTTTAAGGTTTTTAGGAAGGAAAACCATTTAATGACAGAACTGTACAAACCAGGTTTATTTTTATGAGGCCTGCTTTACTAAGTTAAATTCTTTGGCTCTACTTTCGAGCTGTCAGATAGTTACTTGCAACCATTTCTTATAGCTCAATGGTCAAAGCTAAGTGAATTTTACCTGATTGAGTTGTTTAAAAATAACGTAAGGAATTGATGCCTTTCCAATGTTTTCCATATCAATTAATTCTGTATAATTGACGTCTTAGTCTAAAGTGCTTTTGCATTACGAAAAGGGAAGTTGTAAAACTTTTCAAAGGAACTCAGTTTAATTTATAGTATTTTCACCATTTTTTGGCAGGACTTTGTGTCATTGTATCAGGATTTCGAAAACTTCTATACAAGGAACCTCTACATGAGGATTAGAGACAACTGGAATCGGCCCATCTGCAGTGTGCCTGGGGCCAGGGTGGACATCATGGAGAGACAGTCTCATGATTACAACTGGTCGTTCAAGTGAGTCTCAGTTGGGAAATTGTTTCTTGACAACAAAAAAAGAATTTCTTCACTTCAGAAGATGTTGTATTGCAATTTGAATATTCCGTCAAAATAGGAGTGGAAGCTGAGAGTACAATACAGTATGATTAGTTTCCTTTCATATTGTTCATTGTTACTGAGATTTTTTAAAAAAAAATAAATTTATGTATTTATTTAATTTTGGCTGCGTTGGGTCTTCGTTGTTGCACGCGGGCTTTCTCTGGTTGCGGTGAGCGGTGGCTACTCTTCGTTGCGGTGCGCAGGCTTCTCACTGTGGTGGCTTCTCTTGTTGCGGAGCATGGGCTCTAGGTGGCTTCAGTAGTTGTGGCGTGAGGGCTCAGTAGTTGTGGCTCACGGGCTCTAGAGTGCAGGCTCAGTAGTTGTGGTGCACGGGCTTAGTTGCTCCGCGTCATGTGGAATCTTCCCGGACCAGGGCTTGAACCCGTGTCCCCTGCATTGGCAGGTGGATTCTTAACCACTGTGCCACCAGGAAAGTCCTGAGATTTTTTAAATGCATTTTGCTACTACATTTGTCACTGTGTTGGATTATAGTTGAAAAAAAATTTGACTTATTAAAAAAACTCACACAAAGAAAAAACATCCTTTCTCTTATGCCATTTACCAGAATCAGTTATCTGAATTTATTTATGGATATTTTGATTTCTCAAATGATTCAAGGAGTATTTTTACTTAAATGGATTGAATTGTTTAGAAAACTTTTTATATTCGTAAGATTTTGTTTTGTTTATATTGTACATGGTTGTATGGTCATTATTTTAAAAAAAAGACAAGTAATACAAATAAACTGAAGGTCCCCTATGACAGCTAACCACTATCCTTTTGCAAATCCACTTCGCCACAAATCCTCACTTCCCAGAGGTGACCATTGTTATCAGTTTATTGTATATTATTCCTCCATATGTTTTCTGTGGCGTGTATATATATGTATATTGTACTACTGGGGTTGCACACAGGTAGTTTTTGATTTACAAAAATAGGATCATACTATGGAAATTATTTTACATCTCGCTTTTTTTACTTGCTAACATACCGGTAACAGCATCCTTCCTGTGTACGTTCACAGCAGGCTCACTATTTGTAGTGGCTGCTTAGTGTTCTACAGTATAGATACATATAATGTAGAGTAGATTGGGCTACGCCATCCTGTGTTAAAAACCCCCAAAACCTCAGTGTTGAGACAGAAGCAGTTTATTTCTTGTCCCTACTTCATGTCCATCTTAGATCGGTGGAGCCTCTGAACCATGTTGTCCTCACTCGGGGTCCCAGGCTGACTGAGCTTCTACCATGTGGAAAGTCACTGGTCTGTGTGCCTGGGAAAGGGACACAGTAGACAAATTGTGTAGTGACTCTTAAAGGATCCTTAAGCGTATATCCTTTTATATGTGTGTAGGAATTGCTGAGTCAAAGATATGTATATCTTTTAATAGAGAAGTACTGTCAAACTGCTCTCCAAAGAAAGGTACTGACTGATATTCTTATCTACAGCGTATGAGAGTGTCCTGGCCAACACTGGATGTAGTCAGTTTTTATTTTTATTTATTTATTTTAAAAAATTTAAAAAAATGTTTTTTGGCTTTGCCTCATGGCTTGCAGGATCTTAGTTCCCTGACCAGGGATTGAACCAGGGCCACAGAAGTGAAAGCGCCAAGTTCTAACCATTGGACTGCCAGGGAATTCCCATGATATGGTCAGTTTTTAAACATCCCTATTGATAAGTAAAAACTGGTATTTTGTTTTAACTTCCGTCTTCCTAATTGGTAGTGAGTTTGAGTTGCTTTTCATCTAGACCATATTCTCTCTACTTCCTATAGATGGTGCTTCCTTTTGTATTATCAATAAGTTTATTATCACATGTATTTGATTTGCTTTTGAGTTTCATGAACTTTTATGCTATTGAAATACAGGTACACAGGGAATGTAATTAAAGATGTTATAAACATGGGTTCCTACAACTATCTTGGGTTTGCACGGAATACTGGACCATGTCAAGAGGCGGCTGCCAAAGTCCTAGAGGAATATGGAGTTGGAGTGTGCAGCACTCGGCAGGAAATTGGTAAGTGTAGGCTCTGTTTGGCCAGCTGATGTTCTTATTCTTAACTTTTTTACTCAGGAGGGAATAATACTGAGATAGAGCTAGAATACTGTATAGAGCATCCAAATACATACTTTCCTATGTAGTTCAGATCAGGTAAAAAGAATGCTTTATTTTTCTGAAGTGATGGATGATTTTAATGCTTTCAGTGTGTTTTGAGATATATTTATCTTTTCCATTGTGTTACACTTACAGAACATCTCTAGAGAAGTTCCATTAAGTATTTGTTTCATTTATAACTTAAATGTTGACTTTATTGGCTTTTGCAAATGATAGTGATTGAGAGTACTACTTACTAGTACTGAGCTCATGGGCATATGAGCATTAATCTGCTTCCATACTGGTAAGTTGGGGCTAATAATAATTCCTACACTATAGAGGTGTTTCAAGAATTAAAGAAGCTAATTCATGTAAAGTGCTTGTAACATGGTAAACCCTCAATAAACATTAACTCTTTTATTATTATTACAAGTCTATAAAATGTGAAAGTGAACAGATTGCTACAAAGAGATTTATTTAAGTTCAAAGGAGGACTCCTAATTTTTCCATTTTGTTCAAGAGAACTGATAACCATAAAAGTTATAAGGCAACTTTCTGGATATTTATTACTGTGAATCACCCCAAAACTTAGTAGATTAAAACAACAATTCATTATTATTTCACATGGGTCTATCCCCAGTGATGTGGTTAAGGGAGCATTGTGCAGTGACGACATAGAGTAATCATACCTTACATCTTTTTTAAAAGGATACTTTTTAATTTTTATTTATTTATTTTTGGCTGCATTGGGTCTTCGTTGCTGTGCGCGAGCTTGCTCTAGTTGTGGTGAGCGGGGGCTACTCTTCGCTGCGGTGTGTGGGCTTCTCACTACAGTGGCTTCTCGTGGTGGAGCACGGGCTCTAGGTGCGTGGGCTTCAGTAGTTTTGGCGCATGGGCTCAGTAGTTGTGGCTCACAGGGTCTAGAGCGCAGGCTCAGTAGTTGTGGCGCACGGGCTTAGTTGCTCCGTGGCATGTGGGATGTTCCCGGGCCAGGGCTTGAACCCGTGTCCCCTGCATTGGCAGGCAGATTCTTAACCACTGCGCCACCAGGGAAGCCCACCTTATGTCTTTACGGCGCTTTATATTGTATAAATTTCTTGAACATCTTATCCCTTCTGATCTTTACAACAATGTCATGGGGTAGATAGAGCAAATATTATTATTGGTATTTAACAGATAAGAAACAGGCCCAGAGAGGATAAATGACTTGCTTAAGCTTTAAGGACACAGAGTATCCAAGTTCAGCAGTCTTCTTTCTCTGCTGCTTTTCTCTCTGCATGCAGCCATTATCGTTAATCAGTGTTGTTCGGTCCTTAAGGATTTGAGCACTTGATGTAAAATTTGAGCATTTGATGTAAAATCATAATACAAAGTGAGGGAAGGTGTTTTTTAACTTGGCTTTTGCTACATAACAGATCATTCCAAACCTTAGTGGCTTAAAACAGAAACATGTACTTATTTGCTTGTGATTCTGTAATTTGGAAAGGACTTGACATTTTATCTCGGCTCCATGTGGAGTTGGGTGGAGCATTATGACTGACGATAGAGTATCCAAGATAGTGTCACTTACATGTCTGGCGCCTCAGCTGAGTGGTGAGCCCTGCCCCTTCCTTCCATGGTCCCTCATCCTCCAGAGCCCCTCCCTGTCCACATGATCTGTCTTTACAACAGGCTAGTTAGACTATTTTACATGGCAGCTGACTTCAAATGTATAAAAGCAGATGCTGCCAGTCCCCTTAAGGCATAGACTTGGAACCAGCATGTGTGAACAGGAATGGGAGAAATTGTTGGCAACCCTTTTTATAGAAATGCCACCACAGGTGCTGCATCTGATTTTATTCAACTATTGTATTCTTTATGAGCCTTTACTCTTCGTAATACTGACTCCTTCATAGACCTTAGTCTGAAAAGGTTATAACACATAGACTATGATTTCTTTTTATAAAGTAATGAGTAATTCTTAGATTTGGGGTTTGGTGGTATTGACTTCATTAACTTCATCACACAGGAAACCTGGACAAGCATGAAGAGCTAGAGAAGCTTGTGGCAAATTTCTTGGGAGTGGAAGCTGCTATGACATATGGCATGGGATTTGCAACAAACTCAATGAACATTCCTGCTCTTGTTAGCAAAGTAAGATTTAGTCTGTCATTTATGAAAACTCCCTCGTATATATCTTCTTTTGTTTTGTAAGGCATTCAGGCAAGCCAGAAGCTCTTGTAAACTTTAAACGTAGTTTACCCAAAGATATGTCTATCATAAAATTTTATATAATTTGTGTGTAAGTGTATCCCATGGAGACTTTTATCAGTTGAAGCTTTTTCTCTGGAACCCATGATCTTTTCTCCTTCCATTAGATGACTCTTGCCTTCTTCGTTTCATACAGTTTTAAAGGGATTCTCATAACTAAATTCTCATAAAAGACTAAAATTATGGAAGAAAGGATGTTTAGTTTGGAAATTATTTATCAGGTGGTTTTTTTGTAATAGAAAAATATGAAAATATATAGGTCCCTAATACTTGTTCTTATGGTAATGCATGTTGATCAGAGATATATGGGCCAATTATGTGTGTATATATATATAATACATATATGTATAATATAGGTAATAATATAGGTTAAAAGTAATAATATGGGTAAATAATAAGTTAAAAGTAATATATATGTGTGTATCTTATTTTCTGTGGGTAGAGTTTGTGAGGGGACAGTGGAAGAGATAAAAGATAAGAGACCTTGTAAATCACATTTTAACAGATTGGCACTATCAACTTGAAAGGGCCCTCAAGGGCTGGCCCTACACATCTCATTTTAACATTGATATCTAGGCATGGTATATTGAAAAATCAGTGTATTAATGAGCAGAAGACCTGAGATTTTTTTGGTTGGTTATATGGTCAGATTTAGCTGTGTGACCATGAGCATGTCACAACCTTTCTGAGCCTCAAATTTTCCTTTTTGAAATGAGGTACTTGGACTACGTTAACATACATATATGGTTCCTCAAGGAATAGATGGGACAAATAGAAAACAAAAAGCAAGAGAAGAGATTTAAACACAACTATATTGATATCATATTAAATATGAATGGTTTATATATTACAATTAGAAGATAGAGATTGTCAGACTAGATAAAATTAAATAGGCTTCCACCAGAGACCTACTTTAAATTTAAAGACACAGGGAATTCCCTGGTCCAGTGATTAGGACTCAGTGCTTTCACTGCTGTGAGCCCAGGTTCAATCCCTATTTGGGTAAACTAAGATCCTGCAAGCTACACGGCATGGCCAAAATTAAAAAAAAAAAAAAAAAATTGAAGACACAGGTTAAAAGTAAAAGGATGGAAAAAGTTATAGCATGTAAACAGTAATAATGATTTATATAATATTTTATTATAATATAATAAACTAATAAATATATCAATATCATATATAATATTAATATAATAATATAAAAGATTTCAGAGCAAATTGATAACTTTGCCATTGTGCAGGCTTTCCTTAATAAGATATAATTATTAATGATTTTAGCATTTTGTAGTATGGCTAACTAAACCTTTCCCCCCAGCTTCTTACCTTCCTGTGCTTGTGGTTTTGCAGGGTTGCCTGATTCTGAGTGATGAACTGAACCATGCATCATTGGTTCTAGGAGCCAGACTCTCAGGAGCAACCATTCGAGTCTTCAAGCACAACAGTGAGTTTGTTATGGAATTTACTGCTGGCTTTAGTGTGTAATATTCTTTGGGTTAGTGGCAATGGTAACATTAATTACATTAATAGGAAATACAAGTGAAACTGAAGTAGCAACATTTAAAATGTCTTTCTGGTCCAGTCTTTTAAAAGTTATTATCTTTCTCATTGGAATAAAAATAAAGGCTGAAGGAAGCCTTTTGGTACAAAGTAAAAACATTGAAAAAAAAAATTGTTCTTTTTTTTTTACTTTGAACTTTTTCATCTTCCTTGTTTACAAGTCACTTGTTTAGTATGCACTTGCTAGATGCCTGTGGTATGTCTTGCCATAACATTAGGGGTATTAAGGTGAATAAAGCAAGCTCCCTGATCTCAAGGATCTCTGACTGGTTGCTAAAGAGACTATAGACAAACCAGTAGTTAGAATACAACAGACGAATACTGAAATGCAGATATGAACAGGTGCTGTATAAGCACGGAGAAGAGTGCCACTAAGCCAGACCTTTCTCTCTAAGTGGAAATATCTTTGTGCATTATTAAAATAATCACAATAAAAATGCATAACTTTTCAAGTTAAAACCCTCATGTAGAGAGGAAAGATTACCAAGCTGTTCAGTATCATCATTTACCAGACTGTGTACATGTATAGACAAAAGGCTAAAACAATATACGCCCAAATGTTAGGTCTGTGCCTCTGGATGGAGGTTTATGGATGGTAATAACTTTCTTCCTTTTGTCTTTGTTTTGTATAAAATGTTTTACAGTGAGAAAGATATATACAGTATTTTGTTTTATGTAAATGGGATTTATTAAACACTGTTGTATGACTTGCTGTTTTCTTGCAACACATCGGGAACTTTGGAGTACGTGTGACTGTCCTCCTCCCATAATGCCGGGGTGGCAGGCAGTGCCCTCATTCAGTCCATCCCTCAGTTTGAACATCCAGGTTGTTTCTGAATTTTTCTGCTAGAAACAGTACTACTTAACATTCACATTTTTGCTCACTGGTCTGGTTAGTACCTTAGGATAAATTCCCAGCAGTCTTTAGAATGCATGGTTAAAATGGTATAAATTTGCTATGCTTTTCCAGATTGCCTCCAAATATGGTACAAATTTTTACACAACAACTCAACTCAAAAACAGTGACTGTTTCTACTCACAGGCCAACATAGGCCATTATGCATCATTTAAAATCTTTTCTAATCTAATAAGTCCAATAACATATTAATTTTTATTGCTTTGATTATTAAGTGTTGAGCAACTTTTTTTTTTTTTTTTTTTTTTGTGGTACGTGGGCCTCTCACTGTTGTGGCCTCTCCTGTTGCGGAGCACAGGCTCCGTCCGGACTCACAGGCTCAGCGGCCATGGCTCACGGGCCCAGCCACTCTGCGGCATGTGGGATCTTCCCGGACCGGGGCACGAACCTGTGTCCCCTGCATCGGCAGGCGGACTCTCAACCACTGTGCTACCAGGGAAGCCCCAAACTGTTTCTCTTTTTACTGATTAATAAAGCCCTTTATGTTGCAGTATTTTTTATTTTTAACTTTGTTTTTAGTGTCTTGCTGTGTAGACTTATTAAAATGTTTATGTTGTCACATTTATTGTCTTAAGACTTTTGTTTGGATTTTGTGTAATGGCCTTCCCCATTTTTATCTAAATCTTTAGTTTACATGGGATTTGGAGAGTATACTATGAGAGAGATATTGAATTTTTTTTTTCCTGAGTAGATAATATGGTCAAGCATTCCATAGATATTTCCTTTCATCTAAAATTTTGAATCAGTGTTTATTTTTCCCTTCCCTTCTGTATATAAACAGAGGAAACTGAAACAATGAGTCCATTTTTACTTGTCTCCTGCTGTTTGCCACATGTCGCCCTCTGCAGCAAGACTAGTGGCTTCAGATGAGACTTTTTACTTTGTGGGAGCATCTCCTATCTCTAGGTTAGATAGCAGATAGATTATTTTGTTATGAATAACCAAAGGTGTAAACACAGTCACAGCTTTTGGCCATTTTGTGTTTGTAGTATGTGTTTTTATTATCTTATTTCTCTTTTCTGCCAATTTGCTCTCTTCTTTTATGAAGAGAGCAAATTCATGTAAGTTTGTAACCCCTTCCTTCAGTGATGAACAGTAAAGAATATAAAATCAGATTTATGGGATGCCTCCCACCCCTGGTAAACACACCCTAGACTTAATGTTGCATAGATTTTTGGGCGGGGGGTTCGTAGGGGCATTGTTTCAGGGCAGGTGTTTTTAAGTATGCAGTCTGTAGTGGTGGTAGCAGTGGTCTTCAAAGCATTTGTCTTTAACAGGAAAATTATGCTCCTCATTAGTGGTAGTACTAGCCAAGTGTTTCCCGGGCCTGTTAACCACCTTAAGGACCAACAGAGCCAGAAGACCTTGGTTGTGGACAGGCAACTGGTCAAGTCAGACATGGAACAGTCTCAACTGATGGCCAAGCTTGCTAACACATAGATTCATGCTTGCCCAGACTGGTGTATATTCAACCCACTACCAAGATGAAGCTACTTAGCAGGCTTTGATTGAATATATCCTAGGTGAAAGGAAATGGGGTGTACACTTTGAAGCTTTTCTCCCATATTTTGCTTCTTAGGAGGTGCATGTATTTGTAGTACTTCATTCACACTTTCTTGCTCAGCCTTCTTTATGCATTTACTTCTGAGTGACTCACTAGGATTAAAGATACAGTTGATTGTATAAATACAAAAAAAGCTAACTGAATGGCAAGGTATTTCACATGAAACACTGGTCATTTCATAAGCATGCTAACCAACTGAATCACTTGTGCCACACTCATTTAGTCGAGTTTCTGTGGTTTTGAACACTTGTTACATTCTAGATGAGATTTTAATTCAAGCCAGCAGTAGCTTACCCATTTGGCCCTATCTTTTTCTGCCCAGTTCTAATTATGTTAATGTCCTTTGCTATCTGAGACACACTTCCTGAATAAGAAATGTATATTTGCACTTTAGGAATAAAGTTGGCAAAGAGGAAGATACTTTGTGCTGAAATTATTTTTTGTGTGCCATAGATATGCAAAGCCTAGAGAAGTTGTTGAAAGATGCCATTGTTTATGGTCAACCTCGGACACGAAGGCCCTGGAAGAAAATTCTAATCCTTGTGGAGGGAATATATAGGTAATCCTGCTTTATTATTCTTATGTCTGATTTGCGCCATGGAGTCATAGACTAATCTAGACTCCTCTGGAACTAAGGAGACAGGGTTTCTGACTTGTTAAAATACCTGGCTCTTCTTTATTCTTTCCATCATGCTGTATGATCTCCAGATCTCCTTTCTATTTGGCTCCTTTATTTTTTCCACTGTTTGTAGAGGGGGTTTATACATAGGGGCAAGAATTGGAATATGTTTCCTAATATGTCAGAACAAATTACACGCCATTTAATTTTAAGAAATACTTTATTTTGCTTACCTATTTGCAGCCCTTGCATTTATTCTCTCATCTCCTAATGTTTTTTTATTCTTTTCATGTCATTTTAATTACACATGCAATGTGATGCAAAGTCTAATGTTGCCTATAATTACAAACTTCAGAAGAATCTACTGTGACCTCTGTCCCTCTGTGGTGAATTAAGATCACTTGTATTCTGGTGTTTGTTTTAAAAGATCCAGTCATCCATGGCATTGTCTTTCTTTGCCAGTTTAAAACCAGAGGTATGCTTCTTTTAAGGCTGGCTAATTTCCTTCACCATGTGCTGCTTTGTAGTTTAGCCTTTGGAGGGTAATCTTATTTTTTCTTGTTCCCAAATCTTGTTGTAACTCTGAATATGGAAAACTAGTGTAATGAACTCAGCACCTTGTTGATGTTCAATAAATATTAATCCTTTCTTTTTCCTTTGGGGGATAAAAAACCATTGCAGTCTATTAATGAACAAAGATTTAATAAGTGCTGGAAGAGAGTAGTGAGTTAATAACAGAACTGCCTTATAAAATGTACTGGAAAAGTAAGTTAAGAACTGTTACATGTTTTATGTAGAAGACTAATAATATAGATTGCAACTTGGTTCCAATGGTATTGTTGAGACCGAATGAGAAGATTATGGACCACAAGTGTAATATATCTGGGGAAAATTTTTTTATTCTAAAGTTGTCTGGAAGTTCACCTGAGTTAGTATGAACCCAAGGAAATAAAGAATTGTTAAAACTGCTAAAAAAAAAAACCACAGGCAGAGTTGTCAGACCATTTAGAAAGGCAGTAAACTTAAAAAATTAATAATAATAAAGTGTCCAACTCCTAATTTTTGAGAGTTAAGAAGTCTCAGTGTGTGTATTTTTTACCCTGTTTTGCCAGCATGGAGGGATCTATTGTTCGCCTTCCTGAAGTGATTGCCCTTAAGAAGAAATACAAGGCATACTTGTATCTAGATGAAGCTCACAGCATTGGGGCTCTGGGCCCTACAGGCCGAGGTGTGGTGGATTACTTTGGCCTGGATCCTGAGGATGTGGACATTATGATGGGAACATTCACAAAGAGCTTTGGTGCTGCTGGAGGATACATCGGAGGCAAGAAGGTAAATGGGCCCCGAGAATCAAGCAGTTAAGGTTCATAAAGGTACTGGCTACTAGATTTCGATTTGGTTACTCACATTTAGCAGATAGAGTCCCAAACTTGGATGTGGAGATCCTAAATTTGTTTGTGATTTAGGCGTATAATGCCAGCACACTTCACACTTCAGCTGCCTGGTGAGTGACTCTGATAAGCTGGTTCTGTTCATTGTTGTTTTCTTATTCGTTCTAAACTACAGCCTGGTCTGAGTACAGAATACCCTCTTGTATGAAAGAACACACAGTGGTGCTGCCTGTTTGCCATAGTCTTCTATTGGGTTTGAGCTGTGCTCACTATTTCAAACATAGTGGGGGATGTCAGGGGAACTGGTGGGGGATAGAAGACCAGTTTCTTCCCCTACCCTTGGATTCAGATGCATCTTGGGTGAGCATCAAGACAGGAAGAAAAAAGATTACTCTGCTAGCTCTCGTGTACTAACAAGGCATTGTATTTTCCAATTCAAAAATTACGTAGTGAACTCTGGGGTATTTGAGAATCAATGTAGCATGGTGGAAATGGTTCAACCATGGAGACAGAGCCCTAGGTTTGAGTATTTCCCAAACTTCATGAGACCTTGGGCAAAGTATTTAACCTTCCGATTTCCTTATCAGGAAAACAGAGATAAATGTGCCTGGCTTATAAGATTGTAGTTAAGGTTTAAAAAATAATACATGTCCATGCTATAACGTAGAAATAACCTTGAAAGCCTTATGTTCAATTAAAGAAGTCAGTCACAAAAGGCTAAAGTATTTTTTTTATATGATATATCCAGAATAGGCAAATCATAGAGACAGAAATAGGTTAGTGGTTGCCAGGGCCTCAGGAGATGGGGGAAGTGGAAAGTGACTGCTAATGGGTATGAGGTTTCTTTTTGAGGTAATGAAAATGTTCTAAAATTAGATAGTAATGAAAGTCGCACAGCTCTGTGAATATACTGAAAGCCACTAAATTATACAGTTTGAAAAAGTGAATACTATGGTATGTGAATTGTATATCAATAAAACTGTTATTTTAAAAAACTCTCCAGTATTAGGAAAAAAAACAGTGTATGTCAAGTATTTGTACATAGTACATGATAGGTGCTTAAATGTCCTTAAATAAATGTCCTTAAATTCCTCTTTAAAATTTGACGCTGGGAGTCTTAAAGCATGGACTTTCTCTTAATAATTCATTGTCTTTTAGAGAAACCCCATTATCAGTGGTTTTAGTCGAGTTCAATAGATATTTACTTCAATTTTTGAAAGGACCAGGCTCACTTTGGAGAATTGATTGGTTTTTGGTAAGATTTGTTGCTAAACAAAAGGATAGAAAAATAATACTCTGGGAGATCATTGAGGTACCGTGTATTTATGTTTTTTTTGGTTTTGTACAATTTTTAGTATCTACACTGTTTTCTGGCGGCATTTTCTGTCTCCTGTTTTGGTTCTGGAACATAAGCTTCTTTGTGTGCACATTTTATATAAAGACTTAGTGAAGTTAAAAGGTATCAGAGAATAGAGATATACAACTGATCGTTTTGAAATTTTTGTGACTGACAGACAAGTTTTTTTTTTTTATTCAGTGAGATGGCTTTAGTGTCCTTATGAAAGACCCAATGAATTTCTGTTTAACTTTTGCCACATTTATATCATTTTATAAATCTCTGTTTATCTGGAGAGGACATTTAGTGTCTTTAAAATTGATATTAGAGACCTGTCTCTTATTTGGGAATGTAAGGATGAGCTTTGCAGGCATGGGATAAGATGCAAATGATATTTTCTGTAATACTTAGAAGTAGGTTGTATCTAAACAGCAATTCAAACGCTTTTTTGTTGAATTTAGCATTGCAGAGCTGTTTATAACATTAAATGATACGTTCTCTAAGTTTAGAGGTCTTCTTTAAAACTAGTTCTTCTTCCTTTCATGTTGTGGCACGTTTAAAAAACGAAACAGAGAATTCCCTGGCGGCCCAGTGGTCGGGACTCCTCTCTTTCACTGCTGAGGGCGCAGGTTCAATCCCTGGTCTGGGAACTAAGATCCCACAAGCTGCGCAGCACAGCCCAAAAAAAAAAAACAAACAAAGCCTAAGGATGTTGCCATGTGTCTGACCCGGTTGTTGCTGACAGTGTGCTTTGACCGTATTGGTTGATCTCGTGTCTCAGATAGATGTGCCTATTCCAGTGCTATTGAAGGGAGGAGGCTTCTGTCACCTGGGAGGAAGGCAGTGACATTGCCGGTGAATTCACGCACTGCCTCTAATGACTTGCTTCTGTGAACTCCCCAGGAGCTGATCGACTACCTGCGGACACATTCTCATAGTGCAGTGTACGCCACGTCACTGTCACCACCTGTTGTGGAGCAGATCATCACTTCTATGAAGTGCATCACGGGGCAGGACGGCACCACCCTTGGTAAGTCTTTCTTTTCTTGGAAAATTTCCTGGGCTCAGTAAACACTTAGCAACCAAAAGTACTCTTTTTCTTGAGCTCTTTTCCTAAAAGGAGGAGTCAGGTATACTAATGGGCAGCGCTGGCAGGTATGTGAGGTCTTGGTTTCTAGGGACACTTTTCAGTGTGTTTACACACACCATGAGAACTAGCCTGGCTCGTTTCCTGTTGAATTTTCTTGTCTACAGATGGTGAGGCTTTAATCTCACTATCCTACGTATTCTCATATCTTAGGTGATAAGTCTTCAGGGTCTTTCTTTTTTTTTGCGGTACGCAGGCCCCTCACTGCTGTGGCCTCTCCCGCTGCGGAGCACAGGCTCCGGACGCGCAGGCTCAGCGGCCATGGCTCACAGGCCCAGCCGCTCCAAGGCCTGTGGGATCCTCCCGGACCGGGGCACGAACCCGTGTCCCCAGCATCTGCAGGCGGACTCCCAACCACTGCGCCACCAGAGAAGCCCTTCAGGGTCTTTCTTGAATAGCATAATTTTATGTGAAGATGTAATTCACTGTGTAGCGATGTTTTGTTCCCATAGTATTTAAAAGCTGCTGTTTCCGTGAATTAGTGTCCTTGATTTAATACCTTTTAAAAGAGTTTCTAATTTAACATACAGTATATAATAAAGGTCATCCTGAATCTATTTATTCTGTCTTTGGTGGGATTTGTAGTCCAAACTAGATTCTCTGACTAAAACATACTCAAGTGAACCAACAGTGATGTTCGCTTTCTGATATTTGACTTTTATATCACTAGAGGGCAGTGTTGACTACAGAAAAGTTATAATAAAGGGGGAGCAATTGGGTTTTTTTGTTTTGTTTTTTCACTTTGAGAAGAATCTCCATTGTGAGTGTGAGACATACATTTGCTCTTTGCTTTTTTAATACTTCTAAAATCACTTTTGCTCTAGTGAAATATTTCATGTTATCAGCCTTGAGCCCTCTACTCTTCAGCTGTATAATATTTTGTGGTAGGATTGATCTGGTTTGCATTGAAAAACAAGAAAAAAGTAGTATGTCTCATTTTCATTGATTTAAGCCTGTTTTCTTAAATCAGAATTTTCCCTTAATATTTTTTCTGATCTGTGGTACATGCATCCTTGTTGTCTCTTGGAAGTGTTGATCATTTTTAGTTTCATAAATTGATTCTTTGGGGAAGAATATAATTCATTAATGTCGTGAACACCACATGGAGCCTTGTGAGAAGCTCCCTGCTAACAAAGCTACAGTGTTATCTTCTCTCTCTCATATAAGGTATTAACTAGAAATAGTATGCTTTGGCCTAAGTGTACATATATGTTCATATATGTAAATGTATGTGTATCTATGCTTATATATATATATATATATATATATATATATATATGTATGTAGCTAGCACTTAGCTAGTTATTTGCCATAGGTACATCAGCCTTGTTGACTCAGCACACAGATTTAGGTGACTGAAAAACAAATGGTAACAGCTCTCAAAGTTACCATAGATAATTTCTTTGCCCTATCCTAGAGCATGGATCCACGTGATGCGTGACCTCTGGATAAATGACCTATCTGTGCTAGATAATGAAATCTAGGCTCTACTGGCAGACAGAAAATGAAATATGGTAATTAGATATAGACTTCGGGTTAGCACTCATTTTCCAGTTTATCTGTTGCCTCTCTAACCACCCCCTAAGCTTAGTGGTGTGAAACAACAGCCATCTTATTATGCTCACAGATTCTGCGGGTCAGGAATTCGGTCAGGGCACAGCAGGGATAGCTTGTCTTTGCTCCACAGTGTCTGGGGCTTGAACTTGGAAGACCCAGGCGGCTGGGGAAGACTCTGATGGCTGGGGGCTGGGATCATCTGGAGGCTTCTTCACTTACACATCACTTGGGCTGGAGTGACTTGAAGGCTGGGCTCAGCTGAGGCTGTTGACCAGAGCACCTTCACGTGTCCTCTCCATGTGGCGTGGGCTCCTCACAGCATGGAGACCAGGTATCCAGATAGGACCCTGCAGAGAGCGAGCATTCCCAAAGAACCTGCTGAAACCCCATGACCTTCTGTGATCTGTTGTTAACAAGCAAGTCACCAAGGCCAGCCCAGATTGCAGGGCATGGGGAATCAGACTCCACTGCAAATGGGAGGCAGGTCAAAGAATTTGTGGCCATTTTTAAAACTTGCCACTACCAGCCTTTAGATAATATATTTTAAAATTAGTCCCTAAAACTTTTAATTAGTGTGACAGACTTGTGCTGGTTATGTTGTTTCTCTCCCAGAATAGAGGATAATAAAAATCTAACCATTTCTCATAAAGCCTGCTACCTGATCCTATTTAAATTTGGCCTGATTTCTTTTAGATTTGAGTGGGTTAAGGCAGTGCTTATTTTTATGACATTTTTTTTTTTTTTTTTTTGCGCTACGCGGGCCTCTCACTGTTGCAGCCTCTCCCGTTGCGGAGCACAGGCTCCGGACGCACAGGCTCAGTGGCCACGGCTCATGGGCCCAGCCGCTCTGCGGCATGTGGGATCTTCCAGGACCGGGGCACGAACCCATGTCCCCTGCATTGGCAGGCAGACTCTCAACCACTGCGCCACCATGGAAGCCCTATGACATCATTCAATGCATCTTTTCATTGTCCTTGAAGAAAAAAAGGTGGAACCAGACAGTAGCCTTTTGACTATGCCTTAAGGTGACCTTTAAAAAAGAGGTATCTGCAATTAATTATCTGAGTGTGATTTTATAATAGAAGTCACCTACCTTAAGAGAAACTTAATTTCATATGTTCAGAACATTGAATTTCATTAATTTCACAAACATTGAGTATCTCACTACATGTTAGACTCTGTGAATCAGAATTCATAGGCAGTGGGCATCCAAGCAGGTCATTTGAATGAGGTGTACACTTGGGGGTTACTGGGGCTGTAGAGGGTAGTGGGCTGTTGTATTAATCCCAGAGATTACTGTACCATAGAAAAATTGAAGTTTTATTAATCATTCACCAAATATTTGAGTGCCTGCAGTGTGTAGTAGGTGCTGATTCATCAAAGAATAAAATACCCCCAAATTCCTGCCTTGCGGGGTTTCTAATAAGGGAAATAAATCATACAGTTGCTAGAAAGTGGTAAGTACTCTGGGAAAAAGCAGGAAAGGTAGGTGTTGAGGAGTTCTGGAGACACAGTTTGTAATTCTAAATAGGGTGGTCATTGAGAAGGTAAGATGTTATGGAGCGCTTGAGCGAGGTGGGAATTTAACCCTGAAAATCCAGGGCTAGAAGGCCCCGAGATGTAGGTGACTCCATGTTCAGCAATAGTATGAAGGCCACTGTGGCAGGAGCATAATAGTATAGGTAGAGTGCCCGAGGATGAGTGAGTGAGGTGAGGACAGCGGGGAGACTCTTGTCCTGCAGGGGTGTTAGGTTGATATGAGAACACAGACACACTGGTTCTCTTGCCTTGTCTAGTATCAAACTCAAATTCTTGAATAGTTTCTGTGGGCTTTTTAATATTGGCCGGCTTGTGGCCTGTTTCAGATAGGTTAAGAATTTTACTGCCCCTTCAGATTTCATGAAAAGTACAGAATATAATATACCCATGATTATATTTTGAAGAAATTTGTCTAGAAAGAGTCAGATTTGCCTCAGACCTATACCAGTGGTTTTCCTTTCAGTGAATTTCAGTAGCACTGTGAGTTGGGAATGGGGGAAGCAAAGTGTAACCCATATATGAACAGAAGAGACTGTTACATGATAATACTGATATTGCAAATGGAAGAACTCTTTCTTTACTTTGTGGTAAATATCTCACATGTGATTTCTATTTAGGAATGAGAGGGGAAAAGATCATGTAATGTTAGGGTTTGGTCCTAGATTTAATGTTGGTTTAAGGGAATATTAAAAGTAAGAAGCTGGTTTTCTTGTCATGTCCTTACTATTATTCTCTGACTTTTGTTACCAGGCATACAAATATTAAGCATTATTTGAAAAAGCTCATTTTTGACATAATATCTTCTCCTTCTTGTAAGACATAATAGTTTTATATATTGCATGTTTTAAATTTCTCTGTTGTGTAAACTTATTTCATCATAAACAGTCCTTCCTGTGGGGCCACTCCAGAAGCTTTTCTCACCAAACAGGATGCCGAGCCAATGGAATTCCCTTGCAGATGGGACTAAAGACAGCAAAGAGTCACCAGGAACTTGATTTCCTTTATTTATTTATTTTTTCCTCCTGTTTCAGTTTCAAATAATTCAAAGAATTATAGGACTAGAGGCTTTAAATAAGCTGCAATTAGCACAGCATTTATTTATTTATTTATTTATTTATATACAACCGGTTCTTTTTAGTTATCTCTTTTATACATATTAGTGTATACATGTCAATCCCAATCTCCCAATTCATCCCACCACCCCTTCACCCACCCCCACTTCCCCCCTTGATGTCCATACGTTTGTTCTCTACATGTGCCTCCATTTCTGCCTTGCAAACCGGTTCATCTGTACCATTTTTCTAAATTCCACATTTATGTGTTAATATACGATATTTGTTTTTTCTCTTTCTAGCTTACTTCACTCTGTATGACAGTCTCTAAGTCCATCCATGTCTCTACAAATGACCCAATTTTTGTTCCTTTTTATGGCTGAGTAATATTCCATTGTGTATATGTACCGCATCTTCTTTATCCATTCATCTGTCAATGGGCATTTAAGTTGCACCCATGACCTGGCTATTGTAAATAGTGCTGCAATGAACAGTGGGGTGCATGTGTCTTTTTTTTTTTTTTTTTTTTTTTTTTTTTACATGTGTCTTTTTGAATTATGGCTTTCTCTAGGTATATGCCCAGCAGTGGGATTGCTGGGTCATATGGTAATTCTATTTTTCGTTTTTTAAGGAACCTCCATACTGTTCTCCATAGTGGCTGTATAAATTTACATTCCCACCAACAGTGCAAGAGGGTTTTTCTTTTCTCCACACCCTCTCCAGCATTTGTTGTTT